GCACGTAGGGGAATAATCGTGGGTTTGGGTTCCTAGCAGAGTGAAAGATGTATGTACTTTTAAATTATCTAGGCTCAGACTCTATTTATTTATTATTCCTTCAGCAAACTTTAAAGAATATCAGCTGTTGGCCAATTCACATTCTCAGCAAGGTGGAAATAGCCAGACGGGAATACGAGATAATCTCTTCTGATATTTGTGAGTATTTTTAGCAAGTTGGCACGGCAAGCAAAACCTTCAATCATCGTAGCTTAATTTAGGGTAACTAGAGTTCATAAAAACAATAAAAACAGGCTCTGATATTTTTTCCTTCCTGTGGAATCTGTTTTCACAAGAGCGAGGCTACATTCAATGGGAAGGAATATCACTGAACTGCGGGGGTTAGAGGTTCTATTCTAACTCCACATTTATGACTTCCTTATAGAATGTCTAGGAAAAGTCTGTTTTACTCTATAGGCTTCAGTTTCCTCTGCTAAGAATGAGATTTGGATGATTCCAGTCCCCCAGAATCTATCCAAAAGATTCCCCACTTCATATCCCCACCTCACTCTGCTTCAGACTCACCAACCTCTTTTCTGTCCTTAATCCATACCACGCCACATCCAGCCCAGGATCTTTACATTCCCTCTCTTCTCTGCTGTTTTCTTCTCCAGCCAGTTGTATTCCATCACTTTACTCAGCTTTATTTTTTATTGGTTATATTGCTGTTTGAAAGCAATGAATGTATTTCTGTTCTTATTATTTGTTACTCCTCCTAGAATATAAGCTCCATAGAAGCAGGGCAGATCCTCTTTCCTTGTTATTAACCTCATATTCTAAATGCTTAGAATAATGCATGGCATATATTATTTACTCGATAAATAATTCCCAAGTGAATAGATAATTTCTTTTTAACTTTACTGGAAGGACTCTATATCTTTCTTCAGTCACGACATATAGTATTTGCTCATCTCTACCTCTTAGGACATTTGGATGCATCTTACTGTGAATGTTCCTTTAATGTAATATTGCCCTCCTCATCCCCCTCCTCACTGCAGAAGTGTGTCACCTAATTGACTCTCTGGTGACCAAGAAAGTACATTCGTAGATAAAAGCTCCATTAGTCCTCTGGACAATGGTGTGCACTTTTAACTTTAGTGTTCAGATGAACTAGTTTGAGGTCTCATTTGTGTATGATGATGAAGGAGGGGTCAAAGAGATTTTTAGCTCCCCTCCATGAGAAGTCCAGTCATTTTTCTAGAACTCTATTTTCAGGGATCAGGTCCTTTGGGAGGGCTCACTTCCTCAAGGTGTTTAGAGCCTGGGAACTACTCTTCCGTCCCAGCACCAGTGCGGACACCCTTGGCACTAATAAATATGCTACATTTCCTGCTTCCATTACAGCACTGCTGATAGAGTTCACTGCTTATAGAAGACTAACTGAAAATGCTCTGTGTGTGCAGGAAGGAATGGGACATTTAAAGGGAATTACAGTGAAGCATAACATGGGCAATAATTAGAATCAAACATTATTTATTATAAACGTCCGAAATCCATCCACTAATACCCTAAATGAGGAAATTTCTAGGAGGAAGGCGCTGGCGGCCAGTGATGGCGACAGGTGATAGGACTCGAAGCTAGGCACCCTGAGGAGTGGCGGTGAGGGCAGCAGTGAGCGAAGGCAGCGCCAGCTGGGGCAGCGAGGGTGCAGCAGCGGGATGGGGCGGCTGGGTGGTCGCGGTGCCGGTACTTCTGACCAGAGGGTGGGGCGCTGGTAGCCTTGGCGGCCCTGGTGCTGCTTGGGGGCCTACTAGCTGGGAGTGCGCTGGGGGCCACTGGTTCCAGGCGCTGGGGCAGGGTCGGCAAGGACCGCCCCACCGCCAGTCTGCCGCTCAGGAAGAGCGACTTCAGCTTGGAGCAGCTGTTCAATGCTCCGTCCCCCGCACATCCTGCTTGCAGTCAATGGGTCTTCTACTTGACCAAAGGCACAAAATTCCACTGCCCTTTGGGTCCTTCTGGAATATTTGCTGGTAGGGATGCCTCCGGAGGACTGGCGACGCTTTGCCTAGGTAAAGAAAGATGCACTTAAAGATGAATACGACGATCTCTCAGATTTGAATGTCATACAAATGGAGAGTGATCGAGAATGTGAAATGCAATTTCAAGAAAAAACATGTTTATGTAAACAGATTGCTAAAACCAGAACAGTCAGAACATACAGAAGAAGAAGGGATTATAGGGGGGAAAGGTGAAGGGGTTGCGGGAACAATTATAAAGGACACATGGACAATAACAAGGGGGGAGGGAAACGGGAGGGAAGTGAGGAGGGCTGAGATGGTGGGGGGGGGAGGCAGAAAACTGTACTTGAACAACAATAAAGAATGTTAAAAAATAAAATAAAATAAAATATTCATAAACTGAATGAGAGAGAAAGAGAGAGAGAAGATACCAAGAAGCACAATAAACAGGATTGAACTTTGTAAACAACGAAAGTCAGGGACCTTCAGAACTGCAATTCTTACTCCTTTCACAGAATGTCCAGTGTCTTTGGTTTTGGTTCACTGGCTGCAAAAAATGTTCAACAGATTGTGTACAAGCATTTAGAAAATTTGAATACTAGATATTATTTATGCTGCCGAACTCATTTGTTATAGTTGTTTGTGGTGCCTGTTTGGGGCTTCATCATCCTGAAAAGGAGACAGGAATTTTTTTTTTTAAGAGCAAGGAAGTTACAAGGTTACTTTTTCTTTTAGGAAAAAAAAAAAACAAAGACAATCAAAGATGTATTTGCTACTTAAGTGCACAAATCTCAGCAACAGCAAGGGGTTCCCATTTCCTGTTCTGTGCTTCTGTTTTAGTGTCCAGAGAAGGAGGAAATCTGGGCAGGAGAGGCAGGGCACACGACAATTTGATAGGCTACCAAAACATTAAACTGTGAATCCCCAAACTTTTCTTATGGGTTCTGTCAGGGAAAAGGAAGAAAAAACCTTTAATTCTAAGAAATCTTTGGATATTAGGAGACGGGATTTTAAGTAGATTTAAGTAACCCTGACAGTAAGATCATTTGCAATACTTTTCATCCTGTCCCTTCCACTAGATTAAATCAATATTAGTTGTGCCTTATTTCATTTACATAGACTTGAATAGTTTTTAGGGAAAGCCCCTATATGAATTCAGAAGTCACTATAAGCAGAATTGAGACTGAAGTTAAAATATTCTGTTGACTGCAAAACCTTTATGTTATTATGTATATATAGAATATAAAAGAAATATTCAATGTTTCTCCCACATATGTGAATATACACAAACTTAATTAGCAGTGTGATGGCCAAACACATTTTTCCATGCTTTTCTCTTATCAAAAAAAAATTGAACACCAAATCAACAATTTTATCCCCCAACAGCTGCCTAATTTTAGGAGTCTGGCCCTCACAGCTCACCAGTGTGGGTACATGCAGCCATAGTGTGAATGTTGTGTGAGTGGGCATGGATGTGGCAGAGCACCTTGGAAGGGACTCTGCAGATACTGTACACACCAGTACCGTTTTAATAAAGCATGTATAATAAACCAAAATAAGCTTGAGTTAGACTTTACATACAAAGGGTAAGCCAGTGCATTATGATATGGTTGTCAGGATTGTGCACTTGATTCCAGGTAAGGAAGAGTCTTCGATATTGAAAAGCAAGAACTGGTTAACCAAGTTATATACATGTACCACATTCACTGTAACTTTAGAACGAAATTCCACTTTGCAAGATGCACTAAAAGATCTGTTTATTCAGGTAGAATTGATATATAAAATATACATATTTTTACTTCATATTTTGATGCCAACTGATTATACTGAAGTAATAGCACTCCAGGTAGGAGTCATTGGACACAAAACAATAAAGGATATTATACCAACAGGTATTAAATTCTTCCACTGTTAGTTGAAAACAGCCCTTATATGTCAGTTATTCAGTTTCAACATGACTATTTGGTTCTTAGTTGGAGACACGTTACACCAAAAAAAGACATTTTATTTATAAATCAATTAAAGTGAAGTCTCCTGTTTTATGCGTGTAATACATGCAGAAACCATCAAAGAAAGGGGAACTTTTTACTGCAATTATAAGCTGAACTATGTAAATTACAGCAGGTCCTTAAATAACATCATTTCATTTAATGTCATGTCACTATAAGACTGAGAAGATATCATAGGAACTTAATTCTTGTTTATTTCAGTTACTCTGTGGTAAAATTTGTTTGATTATACATCATTTGAAATTGCAGAACCTATTAATGACATTAAGTGAGAACTTGCTGTACTACATTCTCTTATAGTCAGTCTTGGAATGTTTCATAGAAAGTGAGGAATTTCAGCCAAATATCAACTGAAGAATGGTTGTAAAGACAAGAGTGTTAGTAAATGCTTTGTGTGCTTTTATGTAAAATATTTTCTGAACAAATTTGTTAAAGTATAGGTCCTCTGTATTACATGTATATGTATATGTATATATATATATAAAATGATTCATATATACGTATGAATCATTTGAGCCTAAAGTCCAGAAATAAACATACACTTGTAAATACAGAAACACTAAATATTCATGCAGTAAAAATTATGAATATGTTCATAAAAATAAGTAATTTTTGTGTTTTGTACTTGAAGTAAACCATGTTCTATAGACAAAAGAAAAATAAATTTCTAATAGATATTTTCACTTTGTCTTTTTTCATGTCTTTGATTCAACAGTTTCCTTTCTCCATAACTGTAAATCTCAAATTCTAATTTTTTTTCCATTTAGAGTAACTCAACTCTCTATTTTCATCTCCTTTTTCCTAGTCATAAACTGTAGAATAGACACAAACAAAGAAATCATCAAGGAACTTTTTATACATAGAACCATCTCTTTCATAGAGATATTTCCTGGTACTCAAAAGTACCTGCAGGCAGTTTTTACTTTCAAGCATTGCTTTTTAAAAATTACTGCTACATTAATATACACTAGCTTTTCCACTGTGCAGTGGAACATCATTTTCTACCTTTGACAGAAAGCAAAAGGATGACCTTATCTCTGATCTGCTTGGTCTTCACTCCATAGACAATGGGGTTGAGTGCAGGTGGAATAACTAGATAGAGGTTAGCAAACATGATGTGGAAAGTGCGGGAAATATGTCCAAAGCGATGGGCAAGGACAGAGAAAAAGCCAGGTGTATAAAACATGAGGATGACACACACATGGGAACCACAGGTGCCAAGTGCCTTCTGGCGGGCATCTCGGGAAGGGAGGTGAAAAACAGCGCAGAGAATGAGGGTATAAGAAACAGCAATGAGAATGACATCTGAGAGGACTGTCATGATGGGAACACAAAAGCCATACCAGATGTTGATGGAAATATCAGCACAGGAGAGCCGAGCAACACCTATATGTTCACAGTATGTGTGGGGTATGATGCGTGTCCTACAGAAAGGCAGACGTGTGAGTAAGAATACAACTGGCAAGATGATGCAGAAGCTTCAAAAAGAGATGCCCACAGCAATCTTGATGATGGTCTTGGGAGTCAAGATAGTGTTGTATCTCAAGGGAGAACAAATGGCCACATAGCGATCAAATGCCATGCTCATCAGGATGGCTGAATCCAGGACAAAGCTACAGTGGAGGAAGAACAGTTGTGTAAGGCACCCTGGGAATGTGATTTCTCGATCCCCAAGCCAAAAGATACTGAGTGTTTTGGGAACACCAGTTGTGGACAAGATGAGGTCAGTCGTGGCCAGCATGGAGAGAAAGAAGAACATGGGTTCATGAAGGCTACGCTCCACTGCAATGAGGTAGAGAAGGATGCAGTTTCCCACCACAGCCACAATATAGGTGATACAGAAAGGAATCCCAATCCACACATGGGATTGCTCCAGGCCTGGAATCCCCAGTAGGATGAAGGATCCTGGGTTGTAACTGCTCAGGTTGAAAATGACCATGGCAGACCAAGATGGCCCGGGTCCTGAGGACAGAGGGTGGTAAAGGATAGTTAGGTAAAGGATAGTACTCTCACTTCCAACAATTTACCGTTATTGATTCCTAAGGATAAGGGGATCATATAATTTATCATCCCAAACAGGAATTTTTTAAGTGAATGAAAGTTGGTATTATAACAGTAGCAAGTAACATTTATAAATCAGGATTATCTTAGATGAAGTTAGAATATACAGTCATTCTACATATAGAGAACACCTTCTTTTTCTGTGTGTGTGTGTGTATGTGTGTGCTGATTTAAACAACTTTTCCCAGGCAGCCTTCCAGAGTACCTACAACCATTGATTTCATTATACAGTATACTCTTAATACAAGTTAACAAACTACCGAATATACTTTTCCATGGGTTGGTGGATTATAGTTTACATGAGGTTTTGGACACATTTGGTTAAGCTCTGCTTGTTCTGTCATTGTGGAATATAAATCTCTGCCTCAGGGCAATTACTTATACCTACCTGGTGACTGGTTCTTAGGGTTGTGAAGTCAACAACTCTTTATTGTCATTCAAAAACTTAAGTCAGCTTACATGAGCTGACTTTCTACAATATGTTCAATAATTTAATTCTAATTAGAACAGTTTCCTATAGTGGAGGTTCATGAGCTCCACTTCTGCAAAAAGAAAAACAATGTTTGCCAGAACTGTATGAACTATGTAGCTGAATAATAATCTAATATTTTTGACTAAATGACACTATTAGTTAAGATTTCTGTCCAAAAGAAAACTTGTTTCCTTGTCAATACATATTCTATTAGATAGACATAGACCTCTAGTGTACATACTTTCTCAGATACACACACATATTTAATACTTACAACCTCAAACATATTTTGTTTGATATCTACATAATCAAGTACATTTTACCATCATATGTTTACCCTCACATTATCTTACACAAACATAAACTCCCCACCTCCTCCCCCCACACACACACACCAGACACACACATGCACTGCACACATAACAGTGAGAATGTAAAGAAAGTATTCTATAATTGGATTTTGGATTTTGGCACTTCCATTTGGTTTGTGATGTCCCAAAACCTTTACTCAGAGAATTTCTCTTTTAAAGACTAGGTTATACAATACTTTCTTCCTTCTCCACAAAGTGTTCACATGGAATGCTACATATAATCTATAGATAACTAACCCCACAGCAAGGCCAGGGACTCCCTGGCCTTGAGAACTAAGATGAGATGAGAACTAAGAGGAACTTTGTGATGACCACACACCTCAGATTCCAAACCTGACAAGGATATAACTCACTTTCAACCTTATCGCTATCCCAATTTTTATCTTACTCCTAGACCCATTTCGCCTTCCATCTCCCAAACTAATAGGTGTTTTATCCATTCTTCTGCTTTTGCCAAATGAAAAACAGGATGTTCTTTTCTTTCTGACCTTCACTTATCTATAAATAGAAACACATTTCTTATAGCTTTTCTATTTAAAGAAGTTATTGTGTCTTCACAATTCATATGATCTAAGTTCTAGGAACACAGCCCAGGGTTCAGGAGTAAGCCAGGTAGTCCAGCCCCCATCTGCTGAGTATTCTCCAATTTAGGCAGCTTCATCTTGCCTCCCTTGCTCACTGGGGGCCTAGTGCTCATCTCTTACCAACACAGAGATCTGATTGGGCTGTTCAGCCATTGTATTGAAACCTCTCTTCTGTACTACTCATGGAATCAGCCCCTGAAACCATATATTTTGAGTCACAGTTCTTCTAGCTTGTCTGAGGTCATCCATTCTATGTATAAACATGTGAGAAGAGTTCTTCTTTATCTTTCATATTTTCGCTCATTCAGATATAACAGATGGTTATACAGTCATTCAAAAGCATTTACAAACATGCATGGGCACACGCAAAGAAAGTTAACTCTGACACTTGTCATTCTACAAGAGCTTTACAGTATGGGGCAGTCTACAAGACAGTCTCTGGTCTCTGCAAAAAACAATGACATTAAAAATGGGAGGGGACTTAAATGAGGAAAATGCCTTTCATACATCAAAATAATTATAAGAGAATGAACAGCCAAATGCAATTCTTGAGTGGATTCTGATTAAACACACCCAAGTATAAATATAAATAATGTGTAATTGGAGAAATTCAAAATGAAGTATTAGTAATTAGATGATATGATTAGTATTATTTTCATTATTTTGGTTTAGTATTATATTAGTTAGACACACACACATAGGTATCCACAGTGTCTTAATTACAATATTGGCACAAAGTATGTTCTCTGGAGTCAGAAAATTAGGCACTTTAATCCCAGTTTCATAATTTACTAGTTGTATGAACGTGGGCAAACTTATTTGAACTATATGGTCCTTCAGCTCCTCAATTTTGAAAAGGACCCAGTATCTCTATTTTTTTAGTTATTATTAAGATAAAATAAGGCACTCCCCAAACCACTCTTTAGAGTAGTACCTGGCCAAAAATCAGCATGTAAAAATTTTTACTTCTTTTTATGAGGCTAAATTTTAATAATTTAAATATAATTAATAGTATTTAATAATATTTAGTATTATAGTATTAATACTATTTAATACTATTATAGTATTTAATTATAGTATTTAATAATACTATATCATCAGTATTATTACTAGTAGACCACAGAGTAAAAAAGAGAACCAAGAGAAACAGATGTGTAAAAAACTAATAAGAGCAGCCCTGGGCACACACAAACCCACACACTTAATTCCATTTTTTAGGTGAGAGCTACACGTACTTGTCAGCACAAGGACTTATCAGTATAGGTGCTGGTATAGAAATTGCCTGAACATTTACAATGGCTGATTTTAACCCAATTTTATAATTGTGCACTCATTCTAACTTTTAGAAGTCCATTTGATAGAACATATGTGCAAATATTAGAGACCATGACCTTGATTTATAGTTAGGAGTTGCTAAGAAAAAACAATGTTATAGTGTTTAATTCAAGTCTCCTAGGAATTGGAGCTCAAAGCTTGTCATTCCATTCCCCTTTTTGTCCAAATCTGAGTCCCAGCCACAACCCTTCAAACAACCAGAACTTACCTAACCTTGGGATAGAGCCAAACAGAGAAAGATTGTGCTAATGAGCACACAGAGAATCTGCAAGAGGGGCAGGCACACCAAACAAAGAAATAAGTGGAGAAGAGAGAAAGGGACTGATGAGCAGGTTGATTCCCTTCTCATTTATTTGTTTCTGGTCATTGCCCAATGTGGGGAGAAGGTAGACAGTGAGGGCCTGAGGGACACTGAGGCCCTCCTTCTTTTCCTCAAGGGAAGAGTATAAATAAACTTATATTAACCCTGCCCATGCCTATGAGTTAACAGTGCCTCAGGATGCACTTTTGGTTTAGCCTTTGCATGTGAGCTGATGTGCCTGTGGGTGTGTGGTCCTGTGTATGTGTGCCCCTCACATCATCTAGGTTTCCAGCTGATGCTCTCACTTACCAGATAAAAGACTTTGGGCAAGTTTTTTTATAAAAGGTGATAAGATAGTTCCTACTTCTCAAGGCTTTATATGGATTGACAAATTAAGTAAGACAGTGCATGTAAAAATGGTTAAGTCAGTGGTGGACTCATAGTGCAACTGTTAAAATTATTAAATGGTTCACTTCAAGATATTCTAATACTGGTTTTCAGAGTGGGGCTCCAGGATCTGGATTCACAAACTCTACAATGGACTTTTCATGAGGTATATGTGGATATGAGTATAAAGACTGGAAAGCAAGAAAGTGGGTTGGGCCTGTCTCTGCAGCAGAAGCAGGAGTAGAACAAATCCTGCACACTAGTTCCTTTGAAGGTCTTCATGAGAATGTTCTCGTTGGGGAGTGGAGGGATGCCTAAATATTCACTTTAACTTCAAGAGTATTATGTCCTGAACAATACTCACTACCCCATCAAAGAAGCTCTCTCAGTGTTCCTAAGCTCAGCAACTGTCACCTCACTATGTATATGAATGTTTTGTTGTTGTTTTTATGAAATTGTGTTGCTACTTTCACTGAAATATCTAATGACTCTATTCTCCTCTGTCTTTATTGCCCAGCTACCATCATCTCTTACGTAAGTTACCATAATTGCCTTAAAAGAATCATATGAAGAAACAAGAATTAAAAAAAACGAGGAGAGTCTTAGGAACCTCCGGGACATCTTTAAATGCTCCAATGTCCAAATTATAGGGGTACCAGAAGGGGAACAGGAACAGCCACAAGTGGAAAGCTTATTTCAACAAATAAAAAAGGAGAATTTCCCCAATCTGGCAAAGGAAATAGACTTCCAGGAAATCTACGAAGCTCAGAAAGTCCCAAAGAAGTTGGACTCAAGAAGGAACACACCAAGGCACATCATAATTACATTACCCAAGATTAAAATGAAGGAGAGAATCCTAGAAGCAGCAAGAGATAAGGGGACTGTCACCTACAAAGGAGCTCCCATCAGACTGTCAGCTGATTTCTCAAATGAGACCTTACAGGCAAGAAGGGGCTGGAAAGAGGTATTCCAAGTCATGAAATCCAAAGACCTGCAACCAAGATTGCTCTATCCAGCAATGCTTTCATTTAGAATGGAAGGACAGATAAAGTGCTTCTCAGATAAGATCAAATTCAAGGAGTTCATCATCATCAAGTCCTTATTATATGAAATATTAAAGGGACTTACCTAAGAAAAAGAAGATAAAAAAGATGAACAGTGAAAGGACAGCAAACTCACAGTTATTAACAATCACACCTAAAACAAAAGCAAACTAAGAGGACAGCTAGATCAGGAGCAGAACCATAGAAATGGAGATCACATGGAGAGTTAGCAACAGGGGAGTGGGAGGAGTAGAAGGGGGGAGAAGGTACAGAAAATAAGTAGCATAAACTGTAGGTAGAAAATAGACAGGGGAGGGAAAGAATAGTATGGGAAATGTAGAATCTAAAGAACTTGAGACATGTGGTGGTAAACTAAAGGGAGGGAATGGTGGGG